TGAGGAAGTACATGGAAAGTAGTAGATGAATGCTGGCCTTTAAAATACAGGTCATTCTGAAATTATAAACATTCATTCAGTAACCATTTGAAGTTACAAGGGCACTGACTTAAAACTGGTCCTCATATTTACAACCATTGCAGAATTCCTAAGGTCATGTGATCAAAATTTGGGCATGTAGTGTCCAGCATGTATTTAAAATGGATGCAGCATGCCAGGGTCACGTAATTGCCACTCAGCGTCCAACCAGCAAAGTCAATGGAAAATCCGGAGGTTTTACAATTGCATAATGCATTTAACTGCAGTGATTCAATAACAACCACGAGGGGCGGGGAATAAGGGCATAAAATCAGGCATAATTCATTTAACAACTGCCTTGCTTAGGAATAAACATTCTGGCCCCAAATGAGGTCATAAGTCAAAGACTACCTGTAATTCAACCTCCTTTGGAAGTATTTTTTTCTCAGTGTATTTCTTTACCTTTATATTCACTATGCTTGTAATGGTGAACCTATGGCATGCGTGCCACAGGTGGCACATAGAGCCATATCTGTGGGCATGCAAGCGTTGCCCTAGCTCAGCTCCAGCGTGCAGGCACATGCCAGCCAGCTGATTTTTGGGCCTTCTGGTCCCACCGGAAATCAGGAAATGGGCCGTTTCCAGCCACCAGGGGGGTAGGGAAGGCTGTTTTTGCCCTCCCCAGGCTCCAAGAAAGCCTCTAGAGCCTGGGGAGGGCGAAAAACGAGCCTACTGGGCATACCGGTAGCCTTTTTGAGTGCAGAGGGGTCACACATGCATGTGTGGGGGGGAGGGATGGGTGGGCATTGAATTGTGGGTGTGGGCACCACGCGTGCGAACCCCCCTCCTGCATTCCCCCCGCTTTTGGCAAGCGACAGCAAAAAGGTTAGCCATCACTGCACTATGCGCTTACTGAAAGCAGTTAGATTTTTTTTAGTAGATATGGACGTATAGGATTGTTCTTTTTAAATGGCCATCAAAGCCCCATAAAAGATATCTCACACAAATGTTTTAGAAATGTGCAATTTTATTTCAGAATATTCAGTCAATTAAAAGGCTGAAATATAAACAACTAACAGGTCTTCGGATCAAGCGAACCCCAGAAAAAACTTTCAATACATTTTGGACATCACCAGATGAGCTGTACCTATTTTGTACCTTGTTTTCAGGTAGATTTCTACTGGCCTCATCCCAGTGGTGAAATGTAAAATTTGTTACTACTGGTTCTGTGGGCCTGGCTTGCTGGGGGGGGTAATGTGACTGAGTGGGTGTGGCCAACTTTTTTAAAAAAAACTTGTAAAACCATTTTTTCTACAACCTCCTCGGCCGAAAAGGTTGTAAAAAAAATGCTTTTAAAAGCCTCTGACAATCAGGCAACTCAGCTGGGATCGTCAGAGGCTTTTAAAAGCATTTTTTCTACAACCTCCTCGGCCAAAGAGGTTGTAGAAAAAATCCTTTTAAAAGCCTCTGACGATCCCAGCTGAGCTGCGCGATTGCCAGAGGCTTTTTTTTTTTTACTTTTAAAAGCATTTTTTCGGACGAAGAGGTTGTACAAAAAATTCTTTTAAAATTTTTTAAAAAGCCTCTGATGATCGCGCGGCTCAGCTGGGCATGGGGGGAGAGGCAGGGATTTTTGCTACCGATTCTCCGAACCACCCGCCTCCATCGCTACCAGATCAGGTGATCTGGTCCAAACAAGGAGCATTTCACTCCTGCCTCATCCCAAACTTGGAAAAAGCCAACTACAAGTAGAAGCCTTCTTAATTCCTTTGTTTATTAATATCATGTGTAGATCCATGGGCTAAGTCTTCCATAGAATCCTAGCAGGTATCCATGGTGTAAATAATACGATAGCTTTAATCATCTCTGTTGATAATAAAAGACCATCTAAGATCTGGCTGATAAAATGAAGCATGAGGAGCTCACGTTCATTTTCACCTGAGATGTAAAAAGAGTCATTCTTGAGCTTTTCTTGGGACATCTTATGCTAACCTGCTGAAACGGAATGATGGACAAGAAAGTGAATTATATTATAAGCAATGCGCATAATGTGAACGCAGCATTCGTTTCATATATAAAACTGCTTCAACATAGACACATGGCTACTACCCGTGAGACTTGGGGATTTAATCCCCTCACCAACGAAGCCTGCTGAATGTCTGGAGGCATCTCACTAGCTTTCAACCCAGCTTTGCTCACAAGTTTTATTATTCTCAGCATAAGAGAAGAGAAAGGAATATAGCATACACCATGTTGAGCTCCTGGAAGTGAGACATGACAGAAATGGAATAAATGAATAAAACATTGGTTTTGATTTAGAAGATCTTAAGCAATATGGGTCCCCGACTATGTCTTAGTATGCTTTGCAATCTATAATTGTAGTAACAAGGGTCAGCAATATGTCTGATTGTGGTTCCTTATGTCATAGCTTTCTCAGAGGTTTGTACATGTTTGAAACTGTGGTCTGAGCTACGCTAGTCATCTATCAACAGTTCTTTGAGCCTGGTTCAAAAAAGACCCTATATATTTCCATAAACAAAGACATTTACTAAATAAATAAACCTTTTAAAAGTCTCAGGACCTTGATTCTGGAGTGAAGAACATCATCACTTCTTCACTATCCTAGTTAATGGAGATTTGAAAACAACCTACTGTACTTTACTGAAGATGGTTATAATTCTTCAGGCAACCAGAAGCGGGACAACTCAGGTCTCCAAACTGGGGGAAAGACCATAAAGTTAAGATTTTACTTTTCACACTTAGATACGTGTGTTCACTCCAGGTATCCTACCTTAAGATCAGAATGGAAACTTGTATTGTATGTTGAAAGAAATAACTTTTCAATACATTTATATATTAAGGCAGAATTGATAGACCTTTGTGATTCAATCAATGTTTACCAAAATCTGCCTTGTGATTGTCTGAATTTTCATATCTTGAAAAAGCAGCTCCTGTTTTTTCTGTCATCTTCTCAGAATGCCGGAGAAATTCTTTTCAATTCTTGGTAGTGTTATCGTAGATTTATCGTATTCTCAGTTGTGATAAAATTGTCTGTGGAGATTCTCAATCATCCAAGTCATGGTTGTTCCAAAGATGTTCTTTTTCCAAAAGGCAACTGGACTTTCTTGGGGTTTTTTTTTCTTCTTTGATAAGGTTTTGCTTCTCGTCCAAGAAGTTTCTTCAGTTCTGACAGAATTATTACTGGTGGAATTTTATGTGACATCACTGTCCAAAATTCTACAGCCTGGTTTTTCACATTTCCTAATTCCATCCTGATGTCTCACTTTGAGGAACTCACCAAGAATATTTTTTTTAAAAAAATGTCTCCTTATATCTGGAGACAACCCAGAGGAATATCTAACCTTACAGACCATGTGACAGACTTTGAATCTTTCTCACATCAATGAAACCCAGGTGCTTTTTTGGACGGCAAAGACTATAATCCAGAGCTGAGGTGATTTATGATGCTAGAATAAATAGTCCAACGATATCTGGAGAAGTGAAGTTGCATCTGGAGAGTGAGGAAGTACACAGAAAGTAAATGAATGCTGGTCTGTAAAATAGCAACTTTTAGAGATATTGGCTCTTGTTCTATAAATCTAACCTGAGATACCCCAAAACATATACAATGGTTGAATTTGCATATATACTAAGGCCTATTTTAGTCAATCATGATTTATCTTTGATGGCTTTCCTCACACACTAAATGATAAAACATGATTTCATGCGAGTGAATTCTGCTGTGAAGTCTCATTGGTGTGTGTGTGTGTGTGTGTGTGTGTGTGTGTGTGTGTGTGTAAGAAGGAAATACTATTAAATACTATTCCATTATTCCACAAACCATTCTGAGTTATAATCATATTGTTCTGACATTTTCAACTGGTGGTTCTACGCAGCTGCCTAGCTTTGTATCTCAGTAGTCCTCATTTGAAGAAACCTGTTTTGCATTACGGCTGATTTACACACTGAATCAATCATCTGATCCATTGATTGCTTCTGAAATTATTTTGATTCTTTAATAATACACTTTTCCTCCCCTCCCTTCAGACTCTGATTAAAACCAGGCAAAGCCCATCAGTGTCTGACAAATATGTTGGGGGGGGCGGGGGTTCCTTGGGACAGGAAAGGACAAATAAGATCCCAGCTTTTTCTTATTGTGGAACCATTAGAGCATATAAATCTAGTCAGGGTTGTGATAAATGCAGATTGATGCATTATGCTAGCCAAATGGAGTTTATGGATTGTGTCTTGTGGTTCACAGTTCTCTGAAGTTGGGCTTCTGAACCAGATTCTTGCTATAGTTTAGAAGACAACATTCTGAAGGAACTGTTATTATTCCTCTTCCAGAATGTAATCCTTGACCCTATCAAGGGACAATTCTTTGAGGCAAGGTGGGCAGTCAATAAATTTTTTAAATCAATAAAATGATGTGGGGTTCCCTTTTTTTTTGAATCAAGTTTTATTGATTTTTTCCCCCCCACATTCACTCGCATATTTTATGAACAGATTATTGGCCATATCATATCCTCTACAACTTATCATATCTAAATACATTTTACTTAGTTACAGTTTCTGCCAAAATCTTCTTTTTCCATGTTTTTTAATCATATCTTCATATTTCTATCCTTATTTATATAAACAACATCTTCATTCGCCCTCAAGTTCTAATTTCTCTATTTTTACTCATATTTATTCTCTTTTATTTTTTTTTAATAATTCATTCTTTATCCTGATACATTTACACATGTTCGAGGTTGCCTTTCTTCCATTTCATCTTTTTTATTATACAGCAATCTTTCTTCTCATTGTCTTCCGTCTCCCTCCCTTCTTTTATCCTTCCTACTTTCTTCCTTCCTCCTCTCCTACTCACATTTCTCTTGAGGCTGGGCTTCTGAACCAGAATCTTGCTATAGTTTGAAAGACAACATTCTGAATGAAGCGTCGTCATTCCTCTTCCAAAATGTAATCCTTGACCCTATCAAGGGACAATTCTTTGAGGCAAGGTGGGCAGTCTATAAATTTTATAAATCAATAAATAAAATGATTTGGGGCTTCCCTTTTAAGGGGATGCAAAATCTTATCGGCGAGTTCATTCCATCACACAAAAACAGTGAGGATTGACTTCTGACTGTAGGTCCTGATATGTGGTATAGTTTGGAAGGATCATCCATAAACAAAGAAAAACAAACCAGGTACAGATGGATACGTTTAGCTGAAGAAATTCAGGGCCAAATGTCAAGCTATTAGGGGCATTAAACCAGCCAGATGTCTCGAGAAATACTAGCCAATTTTCAGTGCGTTTGCTAGACCTGGTCCCTGAAGCACTTAGTTGTTTGTTTTGAACATTGGATCCCAACATCTTGATTCAATATGAATACATTCACCAATTTAGCATTTTAAAGAAAGTTTAGAACCAGTCAAGGGTAGGCCACCTGGTGTCCTCCAGATGCTGCAGATTTCAACTTACGGCCATAGCAAACAATGGGGAAGGGCTGTATCTAATCCAAACATCTGAAAAACACCAGGATATCTGAAGGATAACTCTGTGGGCATAAGAAACTGGCCTCTATTCAAGTATGCCTTTCAATTTATCTAGTTAAGGTATGGACTGGTCGTGGTTCTACCACAAGGACTGGAAATCTGCAGCCACAGGACATCATGCCATTTCTAAACTCACATTCTGCAGCCTTCAGGGTCCTTTTAACCATAAGAGCTGAACACATGCCATGTTGACATGAGAAACAAATGAAAATTTTAATATAAGCAGTAAAATAAGCGAAGCACGGGTAAATAACGAAGGAACACCTTAACATAACCTGAAGAACCTGAACCACTACGTATGTGATGTGATTCCATCGCAGCAAAATATTCAGTACTTCACTATTGAAACTTGTAGTCCACAACCTTTTTCTTACACTAACTGGAGATTCTGAAGATTGAATCTGGGACTTGGAGCGTAAGAAGCACTGTGTTTCCCTGAAAATAAGACCCTGTCTTAAATTTTTTTGAGCCCTGAAATAAGCACTTGGCCTTATTTTCAGGGAGGTCTTATTATTTTGGGGTGCATGGAGGAAACCAAAGGAAATGGCAGGGACCAGCTGCGCATGTGTTTAAATATTTTCAGGGAGGGCTTATTTTCAGAGGAGGGCTTATTTTAGGGGAAACTGGGTATGTAGTCTTCTATTGAATTGCAGCTCCGTCACCAGGTTTTCCCAGTCTGATGCCTTCTAGATATACAATTGGGAGGTTGGAAAGTTTGGAGAATACTAATGTAGTCTATACAGTAGTGGGCAAAATTGTGGAAACTTTTTGGGGAAAGTGTATTTTTGAGGTTTGATGGCTAATAACACCACTTTTCTTTTCTTTCTTTTTTTCTTTTTTTTTTTCTTTTCTTTCTTTCTTTTTTTTTTTTTTTTTTGGAGTTTCAAGATAATCCTATTCCACTCCTGGAATGGCCTGGGAATAGCCCAGACCTTAACCCAATTGAAAATCTATGGAGCCAACTAAAGAAACTTGCTAGTCAGAAGCGACCTAGCAATAAAACCCAGTTAATAGAAGCCATCATTCAATCTTGGTTTCACATGATAACAGCTGCAGAACTAAAAGACTTGATTCACTCCATGGGAAGACGTTGTAAGGCCGTCATTCATGCTAAAGGTTACCCAACTAAGTATTAAATGACATGGGGATCATTTTTGTATATCTCGTTTTTTCTATGGTGATAATTTTTGTATATCTCGTTTTTTCTATGTATTTCACTTTTCTTCTTTATGCTGTAACTGCTATTCTAATAGCAAATCCTTCATAAAAGTTATTGCATTACATTCTTGCTTAAATTATCTTTCCATTGATATATAATTTTATGGTACTACTCCCAAAAAAGTGGTGTTATTAGCTAGTTTTAGAAAATACACTTTTCCCAAAAGTTTTCCACAATTTTGGCCACTACTGTAGACATTCAAAGAAGGTCATACTGGAGATCCAGCATGGCATAATGTTGAAAATATTGGACTAGGCAAAAGAAGAATCGGGTTCTAAGTCCTTCTTTGACCCGGTTGTCCTGGATGACTTGGGGGGCTAGTCTCTTCTTCTCAGCCCAATAGTTAATGGAGAGTAGTTGAAAAGGTGCTTGAACAGAAATGGGAGACTTGGGTTCTAATCCACCCTCATTTTGGAAGCTCACTGGTTGACTTTAGCCTCATCTTTTTGTCTTAGCCCCACCTACCCCCTTCAGATGTTGGGGAGAAAAGTATAAAAGGGAATGCTTTACCCATGTTTCCCTGAAAATAAGACCCTGTCTTATATTTTTTTGAACCCTGAAATAAGTGCTTGGCCTTATTGCCATGTGCTCAAAAGCCCGATTGGGCTTATTATCAGGGGATGTCTTATTTTTGGGGAAACAGGGTAGTGTTGTGGCCCGTCAGTGGCCTGTGCGGATTGTAGCTGACTCTGACAGCGAGGAGGCTGGTGTGGTGTTGCGCCAGCAGCCTGTGCAGCTGGCACTCGAGTCGGACAATGAGGAGGCTGGAGAAGATGTGGTGCCAGAGGTGGGGATTCAGCCAGGGCGTTCCCATAAGTGAAGAGGACGGAGCCTCTTCTCGATGCACGGGCATGCAGAGCAGCCAAAAGGCAGGACTGGCTCCTCAGGAGGAGGTCTCCTTGAGAGTAAGGCTTGGGGCTAATTGGCCACTCCCTTAGCCTATTTAAGGAGGAACGCTGACTGAAGCAATTTGTAGGGAACAACTTTAGTTCACTCTACTTCGCATCTGGATTCTCTGCAAATTGCTTCTGGGCTTTCTGCCAACCTTAGTAAGATTGTGATTACTTTATCTTTGATTTCTTGTAGGCTGTTAAGAAAGTTTCTTAACAGCCTTTGCTTTGAAAAAGACTGAGTTATTTTAGTAAATTAAGTTTTGTACAAACTTTGTGTGTGCTGTATTCTTTGGGGTCTGTAGCTGGGGCAGAACAGGTAGGTATATATTTAATAAATAAATATTTGGCCACAATGATCATGTCCATATCTTCACTAACGCTAGTATGAGAAACCATTTTCAAAGGGGAGACACCAGTGGTGGGTTGCCCCCGGTTCGGACTGGTTCTATAGAACCGGTAGTAAAACCGTCGGGAGGCTCCGCCCACTGACCCTGACCATGAGAAGCGATCTGCGCATGTGCAGAAGCAAGGCGTATGCGCGAGTGAAGTGAGCATGTACGCACAATTCAGTTGCGAACCGGTAGTAAAGGTAAGTAGAACCCACCCCTGGGAGACACTGATTTTCATAACTTCTTTCCAGGCAAAGAGGCCATCAGATCTTCTGGTCCTGCATTGTGAGAAAAATTGAAAAGGGAGAAAAAAGGGAACAGCCAGATGAAACAAGAGAGAAAAGGTATGATGGTTTGTTGCACAGTCAATCAGATGTTTAGACTGGATCTGGCATTTTTAATCTACCTATTGAGTCCATAGCAAGGACCTGGGAGAGGCAGATATGGTTGTTCGATGGTGTTAAAGGTTTTGTTGCAGGATGTAAGTTGTTCCAAGCAAAACTGCCCTTTGAAATTGACTGATGGTGATTTTGTCAATGCCGATGGGTGTTCAAATGGTGCTCCAGAATGTTTGTCAGTTATTATTATTACACACAACAATGTGAAATCGCAGCTACTAGTTCTTCAGCTGGTATTAGTTTTCAAACATGTTGAATTCTTCCAAGAACCTAAGATGTTGTATTGTATCGACATTGTATATTTGCATATCCAAGCCTTTTGTAATTGACAGATGGAAATTGACAGATGGCAAAGGTTTTCTAAGTGCCATCCAAAAATTTTAGATATGGCAACCCAAAGTGTAGATACGGTAACCCCTGAGATCACCACAGATGACTTATGTTATAATATTATTTTATAATATTTTAATTCCCACTAGTTACTATGCATATCTCCCACTAATGGCTAGGAAAGGCATGGAAGATGGTAGAAAAAATAAATTAATTAAGCAAAATACTACTCTCTTCTTGCTTTGACCCTTCCTTGTTCTCCACCGTAGTTGCCTCTGGATGGCAACCTGCCAAATTTTATCTATTTGGGGACACTTTCAAAACCAACCGGCAAACATGTGAATGTTTAAAAGTACATAAAATCAACGGCATGGATTGTTTTATTATTAAAAAGAAATTAAATAAATGATCTCCACTGTTATACAGCCTCAGCCTCACTTGGAATTAAGCCTAATTTGAATCCACCACAGGCAAATTCAGAGCACTGCTCCTGTTCAAATAAGCAGATGATTCTGCTTGGAGGTTTTGAAGGAAAATTTGAAGCTGGTTGACTCACTTGATCGAAGCTGGTTGGCCACCATTTCTACATGATCGTTTGTTGCTGGATCAAAGATTGTTTGTTGCTGGATCAAAGTGGCACGGTTTCTCCAGTCCTTCAATCAGGGAGGAGAGGGAGAGGGGGGAGGGAGAGAGAGTGGGGGAGAGAGTGGAGGGGGGATGGGGAGAGAGAGGGGAGAGGGAGAGAGGGAGAGGGAGAGGGAAAGGGAGAGAGGCCTTCAGGAACTTAAGGTGAGGAACAGAATTTCCTGCTACCATTTACACTCGTAACAGCAACCCTTGATGAGAGAGAAAGAGAGAGAGAGGGAGGGAAGGAAGGAAGGAGGGAAGGAAGGAGGGAGGGGGAGAGAGAGAGAGAGAGAGAGAGAGAGAGAGAGAGAGAAACTGACTCTCTTTCTCAAAGTCACTCAGTGAGCCTTCAAGACTGAAGATGGGGTTCCCCAGTTCTAGTCCAACATCTAAACTACAATGCCATGCTGGAAAACTCTCTTTCTCTCTTCTGCATGCTAAACGTTGAAATAAGGAACCAGAAATTCCACAACACTTCAGAAGTTAATGTTACGCAAAATTAACTCCTAATTCTTACATGTACGCCATCGTGGATCATCCTCCTTCGTCAACTTCTTTGTTTGTGACCTTCTTTTCTTTTCAAATAACCAGCCCTAGCTTCATGCAGCGGCTTCCATCTGAAGGTTCATTTTTTAAGTCCATTCGATGGAATCGCCCATTTGAATCCCAGGCGTTCGCTGATTGAGTTGACTTGCTGAGTTAGATCAAGGAGCCTTCGAATCCCTCTGCTGATTTCAGTAGCCCTTTTTAAACATAGGCACCCACAAATGGTTGTGAATCAATTTATTCAGATGAAGCCTGATCTGATTATCGCATCTGTTCTGCAGATTTCTTTCGTGAGGCAAAGGAAGTTCCAGAATTCCAATGAAGTATCGAAAGAAGTCAAAAGCATCTCATGCGTACAGTTTGCCCACTCCTGATCTGGATTTTGGAGTTAAAATTAATTGGCGGTAGAGACAGGGTAGAGAAGATGATTCTTTCTTCTGGCTAATTGTCACTTCTTTAGGTATTTTAGGATATTTAGATAAATTAACAGAGATTAGGCATATTAACAACTAATGGCCATGTCAGTTAAATAGAACCTTCAGAGCTAGAAATTATATACCATTTGATTGACTTGTGTTGATGGACAAGTCAATGTGTAAATTTTCATTCCCACCAATAGTCTTCTGAAACCTGGTGGCTCAGCAGACTAAAAGCATTGTGATTAACACCAGCTGTAATTACTGTAAGTTCGAATCTCACCAGGCTCAAGGTTGACTCAGCCTTCCATCCTTTCTAAGGTAGGTAAAATAGGGACTCAGTTTATGGGGGCAATAAGCTGATTTTGTATAAATATACAAAAGGATGAAGGCTATTGCTTAACGCATTGTAAGACACCCTGAGTCTCCGGAGAAGGGCGGCATATAAATCAAATTAAAACCACATCTGGGTTAGACGCTGAAGGCTGGTCTTGGTGAATTTTTATTTCTTTTCCCAAAGAACATTATCTTAGCCAGTTCTCTGAAAAGGAAGGAAAGGCCATCAGAACACAGGGAGAGATTTCTCACCGTTGTGCTGTGAGACAAATATGGTTTTGCCCGGGGCACGTCATCTCCCAGAGCAGGGGTCTGCAACCTTAAACACTCAAAGAGCCATTTGGACCCGTTTCCCACAGAAAAGAAAACACCGGGAGCCACAAAACCTGGGTGGGCGTGGCCAACTTGACATCACTCACTTCCACCAGTCACATGACCCCCTAGCCATGCCTACCCATTAGGGCAGAAAACCGGTTGTTAAAAAAACACCAGGAATCACAAAACCCTTTTAATCTCTCTCCCTCCCTCCCTCCCCCTCTCTCTGTATCTCTCTGTCTCTGCCCCACCCATCCCCTTCTCCATCCCCTGTCATCGACCTTACCTTCTCAGGACAGGTGAAGAGTGACTGGGAGGGGAGGGCGAGAGGCTGGGCCAGCCAGTGGTGGGATCACCCAACAGGGAGCTGTCAGGTTTCAATGTCATCTCAAATAAATTGCACTCCCAAACAATTAATCTTTGCTGAAATATTCCATTTATTGAGTACGACAGATCTGGCCCCGACTTCGTCGTAGCCGATACTAACCCTCTGACCCTCAAACCCTTCCCTTTCCGTTCCCCAATTCTCATCTTCTCATTGGCCATCTTCCAAGTCAGTCTCCCCAGCTTCTGACCTCACCCCACAAGAATGTTCCCCCACCCATCCCATCTCCTAGGGGATATTATCTACAGAGAAAATAAGTAGGTGAAAAGTCAAGCCTCATCTTTTTATGGCAGCATCAGAATGCTGACAGGAGTCACAGCAGAGGTCCCAAAGAGCCGCATGCGGCTCCGGAGCCACAGGTTGCTGACATCCATCCCAGAGACTCTCTTTCAGAATAACAGAGTTGGAAGGGACCTTAGAAGTCTTCTAATCCAACCCTCTATTCAAACAGGAGACCCTATATCCATGTTGACGAACCTATGGCATGCGTGCCGCAAGTGGCACGCAGAGCCATCTCTCCGGGCATGCCAGCCATCACCTGTTGCTCTTCTGGGTTCCAGCGCGCACATGCCCACTGGCCAACTGGACTTCCTGCATGTGGGAGTGCCGGAAACTGGAAGAGCAGCTCCCTGGCATGCATGCACGTGCCAGGAAGCTGAGCTTCCGGTTTCCAGTGTGCGCATGCGTGCCAGTCAGCTGGTCTTTGCGCACAAATGCGTACCAGAAACAGGAAGACCAGGTGACCGGCGCGCCAGGGAACTGCTCTTCTGGTTTCTGGCGCTCCACCCCGCGCGCGCTCCCGTTTCGGCACTTGGTGCCAAAAAGGTTCGCCAACATTGCCCTATATCATTTCAAACAAATGGCTGTCAATCTCTTCTTAAAAACCTCCAGTGATGGAGCATTGGAGCACCCACAACTTCTGAAGACAAGCTGTTCCACTGGTTAATTGTTCTCACTGTCAGGATATTTCTCCCTTATTTCTAGGATGGTTGTTTTTCCCCTTGATTAGCTCCCATCCCTCTGCTTCTTAAAATAGGCCATGGAAAAGGATGATTCTGCCCTCCGCTTAAAATCAGTCCCCTTTCGCTCATGCTTAAGGCAGAGAAAGCATGGTCGCCTGCCATGTTTTTATAGATTAAAAAAAAAAAAAAGACTTAAGCCAAAACATGCACATTACCTTTCTTTTTTAAAAAAAAGAAGAAGAAGAAAAAGAAAAAGGAGGAGGAGGAGGATTTCTGATTGCAGATAACCGCTCAATTTGATTTAGTGTCGAATGATTGTGATGGGGTTGATAACTCGGCATTCATCCGTAATTCATCTTCTCTTGGTAGAAATTTACCGCAAAGCCAGAGCTTTCCCATCCCTGACAAGTCCTATTAATCTTCTTCAGACACATTTCAATAGGTGTCTCCATCTCAGCCCTTCATCTAAAGACTCTGAGTGTTGCCAGAGACTGAGAGATGCCTTTATTTCAGATTCCACAAGGAGAGAAGGAGGGAAGAGGGGACTTTCTTAGGATGGAGGGTTTTTTAATCCTCCCTGTCCATTTAGTCTTTTGTCACTCCTGGATAACTCTCTTCAACCCAACCTGGAAAGGAAAATATTCCTTTTTCTGAAGGGGCAACCCATTGAGTTATATCAGCCCTTTTGTAAACTGCCACCCATAAATGCTTGGGATTCTATCCTTTGCCATACCCAGCTTACACATATTAAATGGCCATGGAGTAATACATGTTTTTTATTTACCCTAACGTTACCCTAAAGTTGCCAAGGTTGGAGACCCCAGTTTAGATTGTCCTACGGTCCTGACTGTAAAGCAAAGTTGGCTGTGGAATTCGGGGAGTCAAAGTCCACCAGGTTTAAAGTTGCCAAGGTTGGAGATCCCTGATCTAAACCTAGTCATTCAATCCATTTTTCCTATTTAGTCATCCCAGAAGAAGATCTAGGGAAATGAAGACTCAGCTTCACTGTAGATTTCAACTTTTAACTTGCAACAGGATGACCCCCAAATAAACTTAATCCATCCAGATTTGGCCCAATTCTCCTGTCCAAATCCAGCTTCCCTCCCCTAGGTCATTCTTCATGTAGCTTTGGTGGGAGAGGTATGGGAGAAGATCGGGAACACACACTGATTGTGTGTCGTTGTGCAATGGCAACGACAGCGTGGAGAAATCAGAATCTTCTCTTCCAGCTTGATCCATCTTGAACACACATCACCCAAACGGCATTTGAGACCCAAGGACCATGATATACCTCCTGGGACCCTCTTTGTCCCCCTATCACACATTAGCTACCAAAGCGTGAACAAATATTGCTCTGTCAAATTAGTTCTATGTAATATTTAAAGATGGATTAACTCTGGGGTCCCTTGCAGCAGGCAAAGGAGATGGATGCAGTCTCTCTCTTTCTCCCCCTCTCTCTCTGTCTCTCTCTCTCTCTCTCTCTCTCTGTCTCTCTCTGTCTCTCTCTCTCTCTCTGTGTGTGTGTGTGTGTGTGTGTGTGTGTGTGTGTGTGTGTGGTGTGCCAAAGGGCTGCTTGGAATTTAAATGCGATCATGAGTAGCTGAAGTACTTGGCTGGCAGAAGAGAAATATGGTATTATCCTGTTGAATGAAAATCCTCAGATTGGTTCTAATGCATCAGAATTGGCGCCTTTGAGTCAATTCACAGATTCGATGCGTTATTAGCATAAATCCTTTCCCCCCCCCCTGAATTGTTGCAACTCATGCAATCAGGTATTTGAATCTGCTAGACTTACCATATGGTAAATCCAAAGTGGATTTGGGGAGATTCACAGTGTTTCAGGCTAATTTCAATTTGTTATAGAATTTTATAGAACTAAGGAGAAAAGTTAGAACAATTTATCAGTGGAACGGCTTGCCTCCAGGAGTTGCTCCATCATTGTAATTTTTTTAAAGAAGAGACTGGACAGCCACTTGTCTGGAACGGGTAGGGTTTCCTGACTGAACAGGGGGTTAGACTAGAAGACCTCAAAGGTCCCTGCCTGTTCTGTTATCATGCTATTATGTTCTGTTATTCTAATGATCACTCAAACATAGACAGGAAAAAATACACAGGGAGCAGTGGCAACATTTTAAGCCACCCAGAATCACTTGAAAGTGAGTTGGGCAGCACATAAATTTAATAAATATAGTAATGATTTTATGTCTGATCCTATAACTGTGCATGCATGATCATATTTTTTGTGGTTTTACCTCCATCTAGAAATTGAAAAAAGTAATATCTAAATATCAGCTGATAAAATGCCACTTATCCAGGGGTGGGATTCAGACGGTTCAGACCGGTAACATCCGGTTCAAGCCGGATGTTAATTTTAATCTGGTTCGCCGAACCAGTTCTTCCAAAGACTGGCTGACCCCGCCAACCCCACCCCACCCCTCCCAGGAGTCTCCACACGGTCTGTTTTGGATGCCAGGTAAGTGCAGAGCACGCGCAGAGGCTCTGGGAGGGTGAAAAATGGGCCTACCAGAAGTAGGCCCATTTCCAGCCTCCAGAGGATTTCCGGAGCCCTGGGGGAGGCCATTTTCGCCCTCCTGGGGGCTCAAGGGAAACCTCTGGAGCCTGGGGAGGGCGAAAAATGGGCCTACAGGAAGTAGGCCCATTTCCTGCCTCCGGACGATTTCCAGAGCCCCGGGGGAAGCCATTTTCACCCTCCTGGGAGCTTAAGGAAAGCCTCTAGAGCCTGGGGAGGGTGAAAAATGGCCCTACCAGAAGTACCAGAAGTCCAGAAATGGATCCATTTCCGGCCTCTGGATGGCCTGCGGAGCCCAGGGGAGGCCATTTCTGCCCTCCTGGAGGCTCCAGGAAAGCCTCCAGAGCACCTACCCAGCAACTGGGCAGCGAACCAGTTGCTGAAATTTTTCAATCCCACCCCTGCACTTATCTAGTTCCCTATGGTGAGTCAAACTCACATCCAGGTATCTAAGCAGATCGGCTATTATTAATAGATGCAGAGATTTCTTCATTCTCCCCATGATTACTTTTTTTTTTCCCCTTTCCAGAATCTGCATTCCATAAATCGCAGATATAGGAATGTGTTCGCCCTGGTCTTCATTGCACAAGTGATGAAGTTGTTGTTTTTTGTATTTTTGCACTTCTTAGGCATTTCTGACTGGAACGCATATGGCATTTCATGCTTTAGTAATGACATTCACAGGTGCCTAAGAAAGAGGGAGACAGGGAGAGTTCAAAAGTCCATTTTATAGGCCACATGGCAATGTCCTTTAAGGACCACCCAGGTTCTCACGAGTAGCAGGCAACTCATTGTGGGTGGGTCAGTGGAATGAATATGTGGAAATCATATGTGCCCTGCCTAATCCTAGATGACATTTAGCCCTTGATTCATGGAAACAATTGCAAGCCTTACCTTTTATTTATGGAGCTGGCCAGTGTTCCACCATCATCTTGAGAAGTTTTTCAGCTGTTCTTCTTTGTCCTGCTTCCAGAATGTAGGTGTGTTCATCACTGAGTACTTCCATCCAAACCACTTTGAGGGATTC